ACCTGTGAGGTTTCTGGGGACATTTTGCTACTACAATGAATCCCAGAGCCTTCCTATGTAGGAATCGGTAGTGTTTTTTATAATATAACCTTAGAGTCAGTATTTTATGAGTAAAAATATGATTGTATCTGAATGCTTTGGAAAAGAGCCCAGTACATTGAGCTTCCCGTTCTCAGCACCGATCATTTGAAAAAAGGCATCAAAATCTGAAGCTCAGTCAGGTGTGTATGTTTGTCAGAAGTCAACACACATGTAAATTTGCCATATGTTACTCGTATATGTATTCTAGGGAATGTTAACAGAGGTTTTAAAGTGCCCTTAGGGTCTTGCATTTGTGCGTGCCTGTTTCTCTCATCTAAAGCTGTCCAAGTGCTAATTTACCTAGGCTTCTGTCCTGACTACCTTTTTAACAGGTTTGCGCTACAAGTATTGATCCATCTTCAGCAGCTGTGATGAGTCTTAACTTGTCTCTGTATGCAGGCATGATGTCTGTCTTGTCAGACCTCTCCAAGGGAACTGCCTGCCTCTGTAGTGTTTAGGTTTTTCCTTGGCATTGGTCCCTTCCCATTTGTTCTAATACCTGAAAAATGATATTTTGAAAAGAGATGAGGGAGAGGGGGGGTAGAGGAGGGGAGGATAAATACTGCAAAATATATGATGGAATTGGGATAAACATTTTGTAGAAGGCATATGTACTTTATGCATTTAATGGAGATTATTATGATCAATTTTTTTCAAAACCTTTTAAAGAACCTTGCACTTCTATTGTAGTATTATGTATCTTGAGAGTGAAGCTTTATCCTTGTTTTCTGTGTAAGAGTCAGCAGTCCCTATAGTGCTATGGAATATTGTGCCGTAAGAGAATATATCCATTGTAATCAGCCCTAGGTACTGAAGAATGTATTGCTATCCTTTGAAATCAATATTAGTATGGATTGATGGTGGTATAAGAAAGAATAAACTCTAGCCCCATCAGTTCAAACTCTAAGGAAGATAATCAAAGGGAAATACAGCAGAGAAATCTTAGTTTTGTTATATGTGATATCAAGCTAAAGATCTTCAAAAGCACTGCTTGATTTGCTTGAATGTTTGTGGATTGCTTCAATATGCCACCTATTAGTTACTGATTAATTCCCAAGCCATCCTTTATAACTATCACTATCTTATGACTCAGTTTATTCTTCTCACCTTATTCTTCTCATTTTTCTCAAGCCTACACATGGCACTGCAATACTGTAAAAGGCGCAAAAATTTACATAACAGAGTGGTAAGTGTATTTGTCCTTCTAGAACATACTCTACTGCAGCACAAGTACCTTGTAGTGTAGAAATTGCCATAGTAACTACTCATTCCTTATTGATTAGATGGATAAAAATTCTCATAATATACAAGCAGAGTAACTTGCTGGTGTATGGCTTCAGGCTACCCCTGTAGCAACTGTTACTTATGCATTCTCTCCCTTTTCTGCATGTAGGAGGTTTTTTTGGTTTTAATGAATTAGCATTCCCTGGATTAGACCACAAAGCAGCCTTGTTTATTTATTTATTTTACTCTCCCCTGCCCAAGTGGAGCTTAAATTTTAAGTTAAACTTGACATGCAGCTCATAAGGCGGAATATTAACTTGTGTTGGTTTGTTACTGGATCAGGACAGCTAGATTTCACCTCAATGTGAAATCTGGAAGGAAAAAGGTGAAGGAAAGAAGAAAGTGCGAGGGGAAGAGCTCTTCCTCAGGGAGAAGGCTTACCGCTTAAGAGCTGACCTCTAATGAGTAAAAGAGAGAATTCTAGTTTGGGAGTTGTGATAAATCTCTTCAAAAAATATTTGAATTGGTTGCCTGAGAAAATGAATCCTGGTTTTATGTTTCTCTAGTAATACTGAAGACATAGCAGTGATCTTCAGCAGTGGCATTGCGAATTCTTACTGAAAGCAGGATTAGGCCTGCAGTGGGTTATAGCTTCTGACAGCTGTCTTGGTTCATGTACTGCAGTTGCTGAGCATATTAGTGTCTCCTGCAATCCTAAAAGATGCCCCAACAAAGCTTCTACCAAGTTTGTTGTAAAAGACAAGCTTTTGCGACTTCTATCAGGAGTCTAAAATTGTGAAGCACTTGGACTTAATTTTACCTGGCATCCTGCCTAACACATTCTTCAAATGTGAAGCATTGGTTTCTTTCATCTTAGATGATTCTCAATAATAACTCTCAACTATTTTTCTTGCACTCTATACCTCTTCTAGAGTCTTTGGTGAGGCCTGCGTGTTAGTTGTGATTACATCTATCCTGTATGATTGTTTCAGAATACTGTTAGTTAGATGTATAGGAGGCTGAAGATTTTAAAGTATTGGGGTTTTTTAGTTCACATCTTCCAAGCTGCTATTACAAATGACATCCATGCAGGCCTTCTTTACTCAACTTGGAGGCTTTTCCCACCCCCCAGAATTAAAAATGCTGGGTTAAGGCATCGTTTTTACATTACGCCACCCTTCAACAACTGTATCTTTTTCCTGCAGCTTGACAGCCTCATTTCAAACTTTGTATGACCTTAAGATTGTTTGAAGCAGATACTAATCCATAGGGCTACAGGAAATGATGCTGCTGTTTCAATAAGCTAGTCCTTTACAGAAAGACTACTCAGGAAAACAATCTTCTCTCTGTAGTAATCTACAAACAAATGGAGGAAACTGGCAGCTGTAGATACCTTCGTCTTTAACAGGAAGAAATAGGCTTGGCTCTTAATCTTTGGTTGGCCTGAATGGTTTTGTGCTTTTGCAAAGACTCCCAGCAGCAGTGGGAAGTTCAGTGTTTAGCATCTCTTGTCCATGTACTGAAATGTGGGAGGTGGGCCCAGAAAGCATCTGGAAAGGTAAACAAGGAAAGAACAGCAGCATGTAGTAGGTGAGGTACGAGCTTATGTTGATGCATTAAGTTCTGGTTTGGTTTGTTGGGTTTTTGTGGTGGTTTTTTTTTTTGAAATTTTTTTTTTTTTTTTTTTTTTAGTATTATGTCACTTTCCCACCCACACAGTCTGAAAGGAAAGCATGGGACCCAAGCGAGCCCAAATTAAGTTTGCGTGGAGCTTTTTACAAAAGACAGACTCAGAATCACTGTCATTCCCGAATTAGCAGCTTGCTGGAGTGGAATGCTGGCTGATGATAACTGTTCTCATGCTGCCTCTGAAGGGCCAGGAAGGGTTTTCAGAACACAGCTCACATGTGATTTTTTTCAGTCATTAATATCTATTTCATTAGGGGTCTGAATCATTGTATTTCCCTGCTGGTGCAGTGACCAGTCTTGGGCAAACATCTCTACTACTTCCGCCATCATGACCGCTTTCATTGTCTCACCGTTACAGATTAGGAATATTCTGTTTTCCTTCCTTTCACAAGGAAGGTAAGAGAACAGCATGGAAAAAGATGGAGAATTGGACCCAAAATGAAGAGGGCCAAGGACTATTCAATGTGCTGTTTTCAAAGCTTGCCTATTCTCCATTGACACAGAACCGGAGAAGCAGGCTTGTGCAGTTTAGATGCTAGTGTTCTGTTCTAATGCTCTTTGGTTTTGAGAGGATAGGTCTCATGCAACTGAGGAAATGTGCATGGAAAGAATATATTCCATGGAACTCATACATTTTATTTTTTTCAGTCAGTGTATTGTTCAGAATATTGTATGCTTAGTATTTACAGCTCTGATCTTTAAGGTATTTGTAATGTTCAGGTATTTCTATAAGTGTTTTATAGACATCTGCAGACTGTTTCCATCAGCAATCTAACACGCTGTTAACAGAAATAAAAGCTGTATCTATTAGGCACTGCCAGGGGTATATAGGTATCTAAATGCATCCTGTGTGAAGATATTAAACACGTCTTCTCTGGGATTAACACTGTGAGTGGCATACTTGCAGACAAAGGTTGTGAGTAAAGATGAACCTATCCAGAATGAAGCAGAATTCACTGCAGTTGCTTTGGGTTTTCAAAGCAATGGCTGCCATTAGAATCTGGCCTAAGTAATTAACTTACAAGGATGGAAAGGATAAGCAGCATGTGGAAGATGTAATTAATGGGAACATATAACAGTCAGCTCTCACATAATAAATTGGCAGCTATGCCTGAGGTAACTGCCTTTTATTTGCGAAATACAGTTGGAATTTTTTAAAAGTAATTGCACATTTTCTTCCATTTCCACATGGTCCCAGAGAATATAATACAGTACAAATACCAAGAGGAATGCAATAAAATAATGCAGGTTGCTGGTTTGTTTTGGATTGTTGTTTTTGGTGGGTTTTTTTCAGGCTCAGGGCTATGATCTTATTTGAGCCGACGTCCAAAGAAAAGGAGGAATGCATTTTAGCACAGGAAAAGACAAGTAGTAAAACATTTAATGAGGCTTAATATGGAATAATCTAAAAGGACAAGGCAGGAAAAACTAGAATAAACAACAGTAAATGGTTAGATATCTACTTGCAGAACAGATTTAGTATGTAATTCTCCTGACTCAAGTAAATAATGGTTAAATAATGTTCTGAAATCCTTCTATTTTGAAGGCTTGAATTTTCTCTGTCTAAAAGTTTACTGCAGCTTTTCCTGAATAGCAAGCGTGACATCAGTTGTGCTTTAGATACACCACAGGTGCTGGCAAATCTTCAAGAAAATCAACTCTACCTCTTGCCTAGTGCAAAGCTCTGAGAGGCTGCAGGAAGAGACAACGGCTCCTCACACCCAGCTGCTTATTCAGCTGACTCAGCCTGCTGGGAAACAACAGTGCTGTAGTCCTCCCTCTCAAAAAATTTGCAAGAGAAAGGTAAGGCGGGCTTGCAACAGGGGGTTGCCAATGTGACCAAACATACAAGCTACCAGACTTCTTTAATTGCTGTTTGCAGGCTTTTCAGTTAAGTAGAGGGAACTATATCTCATTCCTGCGGCTGCCTGGCATGTGTGATTCCCTCTGTACACAGGTGGGGAGGTAGACTACCTAACATTTAAGTGTTCTGTTTGACTGTTAGGGTTTTTAAACGATCTGTTTATCACCCCTGATAGTGGGGAGGAAAAGGAAAGTCCAAATCTAGTCCAAATACAAATCACTGCTTATTTTGTCTGTGAGCGAATAGGAATGGGATCTAGCAGTAACAACCTAGCACTGAACTTTCTTCTCACACTAAATCTGATTAGAAGCTTTACTGCTGTTTAAAACGGAACAGCCTGAAGACCAGGAAATATAGTTCTCTGTAAAATATTCCTGCTGTAGCGTCTGTATTGCTGACCCCAGGGGATCCTGCATTTGCTGCAGGCTGAACCTGGTTGGCAGTTGTTTAAAGAAGTACATCCTGCAATTTTTGTGCTGATGAATTTAAAATGATGTTCTAGCAAGCTCAGTACACTCCAAATTAATTAGAAAGGATCCTTTAAACAGGATAATTACTATATCAGCAAGTGGTAAACTCAAAACGAATGCGAGTAGTTCTGCCTTGCATGAACAAGGAAAAAATGTGTTGCAGTTCTATCAAGTGACTCTAAATTCACCCTAGTGTGAAAGGTTTTAGACAGCACAGGTCAGCAGCAGCAACACTGTAGCTTTTTTACCTCGATACTTCAATTAAAATCCCAAATATAGTCGCATTCAACTCTCCGTATGTTTACCTCACAATGCCATGGCAAATGATCACAGAATCATAGAATGGTGAAGGTTGGAAAGGACCTTAAATCCATCTAGTAAATTTCTACTGGAAAAAGGCCCAAAATAAGGAAAGCAGGAGGTGTTGCACATTATAACTAAATTATAAATGGGCTATGATGTATATAAGACTTCCTTCGTTTAGTCTGTGCATTTTCTTCTGTAATGGAAGTGCCAGATCCTGCATAGAACAGTAACAGCTCACAAGTATGAACACAGTTCATGTGTTTGGGGGATAGAATTTTTAAATATGTTAATCTTTTAAAGCATAAACAGATGATTGCTTATCAGGCTATGGATAAATAAGCATATGACTCCTGCAGTGGTGGCAGAAACACTTTTAGTAATTCCTGAAAGTAGATTCTCTTTTGAGATAGCCAAGGCTTTAGAAACTAAGGTTTAATTGTGATTTTTTTAATAAGGGAAGTTATCTCAATTAGGTCACTTCATGTTTGTCATATTTTTATGGCTCTTAGAATGGATGCAGAAATCTGTATTTTTAGGCTAACTTTCAAAAATCACTTATCTTTTAGCTTCTATAAGATAAGCTCAACAAAGTTAATGGTCTTACACTGCTCTAAAGTGTGTTCTTGGGAGAAATCAATTTGTCCCTATGTTGTTCACTGCAGATGTGAAAGTAGTAAATCAGTGATTATCAGCCATTTCTTAAAAATGGATCTTGACATTCAACAGACCAGACAGTTTCTCAAGTTTTATCATGGGACCTTGTGGTGCTTCAAGGAATGTGAAGCACAAGCCTGAATCCTTTTGTCTAGCTTGTCTTTTCAAACTTAAGCACTGCCATTTTCTTTCTAGTTAAATTGCATGCTCGAGTCAGGCACGTTTAAAAATCATGTGAAATTGAGACATTTTAAAAACTTGTTTCAACTGCAGGCACAGTGAACTGGGGAGGAAGTCTTGACAAATATTTTGGGTGGTTTTTTATTTTTTTTTTTTTGGGGGGGTGGTTGTTCTAACTGGTGGGAACAGAAAGCAAGTACCTCTTTAGAAAATGCCTGAGACAAATGCTGTAGTCTTCTAATGATCTGCAGGTCTGCTTTTTTTTTGTGTTCTGTAGTTGTAAGTTTTGGGTTACTCAGTCCATGTAAGTCCTAAGAGTCCTGTGTATGCACTGTAATGGTGCTGCATTGTTCTTAATTGAATCCAGCCAAGGATGAGGTAACATTTGATGAAGATTTGCTTAAATTTCTTGAATGAGCAATGTTTAGATGTCACAGTAACAGTAGAAATCTGTTATCTCCCTTCACTTGCATATCTGCACAGTTGTCGCTGCTGAAGTTGCTCCCATACACGGTGAACATATTGTTCATCACACTCTAGTTATACCCAGACCATTCAAGCAGAGCTAAGTGATTCTGTGCTTCCCATAATGGATAGACTTGTCCCTCTATACAAATACATGCAAGTACATATGTTAGCACAGTGCCACCAAAAATAACAGATTTTGTTAGTGTGCCAGACCTTTCTTGCTACTACAAACTATGGCTACAAAATACCTCTGGATAATATAATAGGGAACTAGTCAAAACTCACTATGCAAATGGATTTTAAAAAAAAAGGGGAAAAAAAAGGCCCATTTCTATGAGTTTGCTTCAGAATTTTCCCCTACAATTTAGAAGAAATTATTAATCTCTTAGTGGAAGAGATTACTTATGCACTGAAGGCGTATTTGTTCACAGAAATAGGCTAAGCCCTTCTGAAGAAGCTGTGGGAAATGCAACCTCTTTCAAGTCAATAACTGTGCTACTTATCTTCTGATGGAGCTTGGGTTTCCTCTTTTGGAGGAACAGCAACAAACTCTTTCATTTCAGTATCTTGGTCAGTGGTAGCATGAGTACTAGTTTTATAAGGCTCGCATGGGCAACAGCTGACTTCTCCTTTTCTGCTCTTCTGCAGAATGGTAGCGCGGAAGTCTAATGTTATCACTGCCAAACGATACAATTGTAGAGTCACAACTAAGATATTCTTAGCTGTAAAAAACACCAGCATCTGATTGAATATTCTGAAGTGGCCCATCAGGATTGAACGTACAATGAAGAAGGGACCATCCTGTATGAAAAGGCTGACCCCAATGTTCCACAGTTCTGCACTGTACCTGCACAGCAGCAGGCTGGGGATCCGCCTAGTAGATGTAGTTGGTTTGCAGCCAATATGCTGTACTGGAAATAAAACACAGTTATGTTAAAACAAGTCTTTAAAATTGAGCCAGGGTTGGCCTAAAGGGAAGTAAATGCATTCAACTACGAACAATTCAACAGAAAGCATATCCAATTTCTGGAATCTGTTTCAGCAAAACACACTAAGCTTATCTTAAGCAGATACTTACGTGGTCTGCCAGACAGGACCAAACCCGCTTCCCCTTTTCTGTCCCACTAAGCTATCAGCATTTATATACTTTAAAACATTAAACAAAAGTAGATTACCTAATCATTCTGTAACAACTTTCCCAAGCATTTTTCTGTTAAATCAACGTATTAGGCTAACATATATCTTTAAGAAAAAAAAAACAACAAAGTACCATGCTGAACTGGAATAGGCTGAGCTACAGAACTTCAATTTGTTCCAGGTTGTTTAAGACCTTGGTTTTCAAAGTCACTAGATAGCCATTGCCTTTTTCATGTGTCAGAGTAAGAATAAGTCATGCCAGTGCAGGGTAATATCAAGTATTATGGATACGAAGAAACTGTAGTCGCTGCTTGCCATAGAAGAATTGAGCCACAGTTACTCTTACTCATTCTTAGCCTTCTGGGTGTGAAATTGCATACAACAGTTGGAACTTGCATGAATGTGTTCCCCTTGACTATAAAAATGGTGGCGGGCTAAAATGCTCTTTGTGACATGGTGTCTAGAGAATGATCATCAGAAGAGTGTGTGTGTGGTGAGTATGGCTGCCTCTTATGAAAATGCATGTATCTTAACGAATGTGTCTCAGGCAGTGGGTTTTCATTAGTTTAAAAGTCATAGCTACTTGTGATGCAGTAACAACTGCCAAATATTTCAGCTCAACAAAACAATTCTATTGTTTGAGTGAACGCTGGGGGGGGGGGAAGGGAAGAGGGAAGAAGATGAGCCTTGAGTGGAAAACTAGCTGTAGAATGTAGAAATTTTCTGAATCCATTAGGCAAAGCTTCAGCAGCAGCTAATTTTTTAATGTTTTTGCACCACTGCTGTTTAATAGTCCTAACTGCACTGCCTAATCAGTCAGTGCCTAAAACCTTCTATTTTACATCATGCTGTGAGTAAACATTCTGACACTTGAATAAAAAGTACTATCTGTACAACTGTATAAGCTACCCAAGATAAACTGAAACCATAGTAAATATCACGGCAACATGTGTCCTATAATTTGATTTTAACTTGTATATCAAGCAGAAAAGCAATAGCCAGAGGAAAAAAAATGCACAGTACAAGAGGTTACTTCACTTAAATTAATGCTAAAATTGCTTAAACACTGTTTGAATTTATTTGTGTAGTGGTGATGTATATGAACTTTTCTAAACCTAAGTATTACATGTCTTTAACAGAATATATTCCCTAATAACAGGAATTTTAGCTGTGATGTATCTGAAATGTGGTTGCATCATTATTTTTTTCTGGGAGGTGAGCAGCTGAGCTGAAATGCTGAAATATTTTTGGAACTCCAGTGTTGAAAACAAAACCTAGTGCTGTCCCTGAAGAAAAGGCTAATGAAAAATTCCTGGAATAATTATTTCATTATTATTTTATTCATTTATTATTCTAGTCAGTGTGTCAGCCTAGTGTGCAATTTTATATATGATGCTAGTGAGGATAATGTATCTTTGGACTGGTAGAGTTAAGTTGCAAACTTGTAGTGATTGGAGGGTAAAGTGGTTGGAAGAGATGATGATTGAGGCAACTTTCATGATTCTTCTTGGATATAGGGAAGCCTTTTCTGCCTAGGCACAAATACAAACTCAAACTGGCTGAATGCTGGGCCTTTTAAGATAAAGAGTGTACAGTCCCAACATTATATAGTCCTTTATGTTCCCTGTGAATAAGTAGTTTCTCCTTTGATAACATCTGTTTCCTTGGCTGTGCTGTTCCCTGTAGTTAACAATTGCCTGTATCTCCAAAGGGTCTAGTAACCTACCCAGATTTGAGCTATAATAGACTAGATCTAACTCAAGAGCTTGCACGAAGAAGTTTAAGGCAGTAACAGGCAATTGGAGCAGATGCTTAATATAATATTGCAATCCATTTTTTTCTGAAAGTAGAGAGTTTTATCCGGGAGATCAGAGGTTAGCCAGAAACAAGTGTTTCCTGCAATGAAACCACAATGGACAAACTTCAAAAGCCATCATTGTCATATAAATTGCTCTCCACCAGAAGTCCTTGGTATAGCCTGTAGCATGTGTACAGCCACAAGACATGCCAGCAAAAACCTAAAGCATTTGTTCTCTTTTCTTGTCTATGTGCAAGAACTAACCTGCAAGATCAAGTGGAAACTGTAACATACTCCACGTCCATACAGCAAGAATTGCATTTATGAGAGCATAATTCTTCCTATGGGAGAGGAAAGAAGTGATAACAGTGAAGATGAAGTTTTCTTATGCGATAACAAAAATGTTTGCTGTAGTATCTGGAATATCACTCAAAGGTTAGTTGAGCAAAACAGCAATTGATTACCGGTAAGACTAAGGAAAACAGAGGTACTTTTTGGCAAGGAATTTTTTGCTGTTCAGGCTACATGTCCCAGTTGTGTGATTACATTAAATAGCTGATGCTAAGATTATAATGATAAGCATATGGAAATAGAATCTCTGGCTCAAAGAGGAGGTATCTCTTCCCTTGTAGTTATTACACATTCCTTGCAAGCCTGAAGCTTCTCTGCCAAGTGGAAGGACCTCTTTTCCTGCTTTAAAACCTTTTATTTGATATATAAAAAATATATATATAATAGTACATATGTAAAAGAGGATGAAACTCTTCTGTGATTCTTTTTCTTTATAAATGTTCATAGCTCATCTCTCAGTGCTGCAAGAGGGAGATGAGTTTACTTCCTCTGGGGGAGATCACAGTGTTGAAAATTCACACCAGACTATGCCATTCCCTTTCTTCTTTATCTTTGAACACTTTGTCATTCTATCATGAAGAAAGTACAAATGAGATAATCAAAGAAGTAACTTGGATAATGCATCACTAAAGCAAAATCTAGTTGCTTCCTTGCTAGTCTAAAACAATTCATTAACCTGTAAGAGGCTTACTGTGTATCCAGTGTTTCAGCTCCTGTAGCTGCAAGAACTGTCGTTGCATGGGAGTTATGCTAGTTGTTTGGCTCTTTGTACCTTTTTATTGTGATGGATGATATGTTTCTCTGCTGGCAACAGAAGTATAATCCCTAACAAAGCTCTTAGGACTGTTACGTGCTTTACAGAGGGAAAGGTGAGAGCAGGAAAACACAGCCTTGAATGTAGCCTTCTGTTTTCTGTGGGAAATAACAGCTCAACCAGTCTGAACACTGAAGAGTGCACAAACAGATCTTTATACAAAACAAATATCTTGCAATAAACAAATTATTAATGTCAGCAAATGATCCTTACCGAACGTCTTCGATGTCCAAAGTTTCACTAGCAAATTCAAGTATATCTGCTGCTGTTCCCACAAACATGAGAAGCAGCTGAGACAATTGATCCCGGGTGATTTCAACTCCAATAGGGAGAAGCCATCTCCCAACTACTAGCAGCAGTAGAAAAGTCTGGTGTAGGGCCAGTGTCCATACAGTCTCACAGATTGTGGAGAGCTGATTCACAAAGACTTTAGCCTGTTTAAAAGACAATAAGAAGATACTGTATCTTCAGGAGACTGACATTATAGATACCTTCAGAGACTGTATTCACCCTTAAGGCTGCTTTTGTTCTCCTTCACATTGTATTAGAGCAAATAATTTTTATGTGGCAGGCATAATTTGAAAAAGACCTATTAATACAAACTTTGGGTAATGAATAGCAAGTCTTCTTTGAGTACTGCTCTTTCTGTTCTCATTTTTCAGCCACCTGAGCATTACCCTTTGCAGAACCATGATCTAGACACTTTTTAAATTTCTAAATTTTAAAATTACTGAGATTTGGAACATAATGATAGGAGAGTCACCACTTCACACAGAGACTAGCTCTACAAACAGTAGTTAGCATGAAGCACACTGTACATCATTTTCACAATATGGTTTTCTGAAACTATTCTTTTTCTTGTTTTTTAGTATTCTTCACTGCATGAGGAGGCTGCTCAAATAAACACAAGTCGTCTCTAATTGCTCTTAACTAGGAATAGGAAAAGGTGTCCCACCGTTTGAATGATGTGGTGATCTGTTCCCTCACTTCCGTGACTGCTGTCTCTGGATTGATTGAAGTCTTGGTTGCTGATATTCACCTGAACTGCTCCAGGCTCATTACCACAGTACTGTTGTGAATAAAAACATCACACATGCATAAACATCCCATACAGGGAGCAGATGCAGTCTGTGGCTGAGAGAGTCCTGTTTTGCTGAACTGTAGAAGGTTCATTTGTGAAATTCGGCCAGTGTTTGCAAATGTAGATGCTCACCCTGCATATAATTCCCCTCTTGTTCAGAAGAGAGGGATTCCTCTCATGAGGACAGGAGAGATGTTTTGGTAGGTCCCTGAGAAAGTATAGGATTTTACTGCAGAAGAGGATGTAAATTCAAGGACTGATGGAGTGGGTGACATCTCTGTGCCATTAAGATGGCATTCTTTGAATGCGATCTGCCTGCAGCTCTCCTAAGCAGGCTGCAGAGTTTCCTACGTAGTCTCCGTCTAGATAAAAAAAACTGACATAGGGTAAGAATTGGTCATGGTCAGTCTGCTGGTTTATGGTCCCGGCCAGTCTCTATATTCAGGCTTGAATCTGTCTAGTATATAACTAGTATACATCTTGAATATATCTAATATATATCTAGGCTGCAATGAACAGAGTAGGGGTGGGATATTTGGATTGTATTCTCTGCCCTCCTACACATACCCATGCACTGCCACTTCTCCCCCAAACCCACCTCCCCTCCTCCACACCCCCCTCCCCCCCAAAATAAGCTGAGCCTTATTCTGCAAGGAGGTTCATGATGTGAGAGGTGAGATACAGGAATAATTAAGAAAAATGGATGTGTTGTTGCCTACCCCTGTAGAGCAGAGAAAAAACAAGTATTTTTGCTTTCTCCAAGTACCCAGTGCTCTGGCAAATAGAATGTTGGCTAAAACATACTGTTACATCACCTGCAGTAAACCAGTAGGTCTGTCGTGCTGCACGGCCCTTCTTAGTTCACACACAAGGTTGGCCCTGGAGCAACTTGGGTATGGTTCTAAAATTCTATCTTCATAGCAATCCCTTAACATCTCTTTGCATTGTAATAAAAAGGGATAATTAGAAAATCAAACCATGCTGTTATTAAAGACTTTTATCCTATCCTATTTGTGCCAGGGAACACATGATTTGCATTTCTCCACTGGGCCCCCCACCATTTTATTGCATGGAGAGTGATTTTATGCAACAATCAGAATGTGTTCTAGTGCATACTGAGTAGCTCTGTTCAGCATAATGCCTGCCAATATAAAGGCAACATTTTCCAGCAAATGTCACATTCTAGCAAATTTCAGATTCTACTTTTGATGCTTTATTTGGTCCCTGATAATGTTGCTCAGTATCTGGGTAAATGCTGCTTCTTGTCATAAATAAATGGAGCAAATTCCCATGGTCTGAAAAATCTGGTGGCAAAAAAAGTCAGGCTTTTTTGCTTTTGTAATTGGAGGTAAAGGCTCTTAAATGGAATGCTTGCCACCTTTGGATTGTGGGTGTGAAAGCTTTGAAAGATCCTCATATGGATGTAAGGATGATGATATTTCCATGTGGAAGAGGAAAGTCTAAAGTTCTGGACATGGAAAGAGTGAGATGGAGGGGCTGCTACTCTGCAGGGCTAGAGCCTTGCTGGGCTTATCTCACTTGGTTAGCCCCTTAACCAAAGGAGAGAGACAGAACAGCTTGTTCAGAGGATGTTTCAGAAACAAAATTTAACTGGTGCTCTGGAGGAATATCTTTACCTGTTGCCTGTAGAAAATTCTAAAGCCTATGGAGGCCAGCCCCTGAGGTCAAAGTCAGCCTTTCTGAGTAACTCCCACCGGCAGTGCGACACAGTTAGCTGAGGAAACCATAAACTGCGTAACTGGCATAACCACCCCAGAATACTACGAAGTTAAAATCTACCTTGAAACAAATTGTCTGGGTAGAGCAAATGAGTTATTAACTTGTGCTGGAAGAGGAAGGCTAATTTACTTTGACAGCCTTTGGTCTGCATTTGAGCTCACTCCTCTGCTCCCCTGCCTGGTCTGGCAGAGGTAAGAGGAGGTGAGCCATGAACTTGCATTAAATGTCACATCAGAGTTTGGAGATTTCTTGTTCGCTTTTTAAAGCCCCATTTCTCAGGGATGAATCTGCCAAATTTGAGGCAGGAGCCATGTAGGGCAAGCTGTGTGCTGTATGTGTATGATGGTGAACATCCCTTCTCAGACACTGTGAGAATTCCCAACAAGTAAACTGGGAGACTGAAAGAGGAGTGAAATAGGAGCCTGTAGCAGTTTTACTGTGTGGGTTCCAAGGTGCATGTTTGCTGCTTAGCAGATGCCATGGCTCTCCTGTGACAACAACAGAGAGCAGACAGCTCTCACAGTTGGTCTGTATAACCTCTGCAAAAGGCAGAGGAGCTGCCGGACTCACCAACCTGCAGCACTGGACAGAGGTGGAGGAAAGCAGCATGCCACAGTGTATATGAGGCTTGCAAGGGAGCAGGGGGCTCTTTCAGTTGTTTAGTTTTTCCCTTTTCTTTTTTTTTTTCCACCCCCTTCCATCCTAGTGGCACAAAGGTGTGGAGAATATTTCTTAATTCACTTCATCAGTGCCTTTTGCAGGTTCCTGACACGTAACTTTTGCAACTACTCAAGCTGAGCAGGGAGGGGGGCAGGGTTACTATTTCAGTGCAAGGCTCCATGAACTCTGACCAAATGGCACTCCTCAGGGCCGGGTCCATATCTCTTCTCAACTGCATGTAGACAGGAAATGGAAAACCGCATCTGCAAAGCCAGTCATTTAAGTAGGCTCCTGATTTTTAATTTAAGTATGTTCATATCTTTTTTGGTTTGTTTCTCTCTGAATATTTATTAAGTGGTGATCGTGGTGGTGATTCACTTGGAAGTTTGGAGAAGAGCCTTTATTTTCATTGTGTATATGCATATAAATAGGACTGCTGGTGCCAGGCATATTTGCCTAGCCAATTACATATGTGCAGTGACTTAATGGGAATGTGGCAAGGAAAAATGCTAAATTTCACAGGCAGCTGATAAATGTGGTTTACCTAGGTTACTCCTGGGTATCAAGACTGTGTGCATAGCTGAACAAAAATGCCTAAGTCTTTTAACCATGCAAAAATTAAACAGGAAGAAATTGTACACATTTTGCATAAACTCTAGCTTGGTTTACTTCATTTTTTCTTTTGACATGTAGCTTACATTTGTCTGATTTATAAATACCTAATCAAACCAGAAATTCTGTTGCGTGACATAATGTTGTCCTAATATATGGCCTGCAAAGAGCTTGCTGTCAGTGCATGGGGTACACCTGAAACTGAGCTCATTCAGCAAATTTCTGTTTGCGTGTTATTCACAATCCCTCATTCACAAATATAACCGAGGTTAGCGAAAACTTTTCACAATGGGTCCAGCATTGAAATAGTGAAACTGGTACTTGAATACAAAGGCAGAGTACCCTCAATCCTGTGAATGTATGGCTTGGCAAGGGAGAAGCTAGCCCTTCCCTGAAGCAGGCCCTCTGCCAAGCAACAGGTACCCCTCTCCTTCTCTGTGACTGGCTGGAAACAGAGTGGCCATCACTATGGCAACATGTGTGAAGTCAGAAATTCAAAGCAACGGTGACTGCTTCATTTTGGTGGTATAGGACAGCTGAAAAGTAAAACAGCAGGAAAAGACTGCTTAAGCTGATTTCCAAATTGAGGAAAATAATAGGTATGGGAGGGAAGAGAAAAGGTGAAAGATGTAAGATCTCTTCTAGGAGAGTGATATACTAGAATTTTAGCTGATAGGAGAATCTCACCTCACAATGAGGCTAAGGGAAAGGGCACTGACATTTTAAGGAAGTAATGAATATTCAAGTTAAGGTACTTAACTATTTGCCAAGTATCTATCTTCTTATTGACTGGAAAGCCTATGCTCATTACAGCACAGGTAGTCAGGTAAGACCTGCAAAAGGTGGTCAGTTATAACTTTCTGTCACAGCGATATGACAGAGTTGAAAAGGTAACAGGAATTTGTTTATCTGAGATCTCATACTTTCTTAATAATTTTGGGGTTTTTTTAATGGATCAGATGGTTTTAATTTTCTTGCCACTATTCTGCAGACAGCAACTTTTTCACTCAGTATAGTTCAGTTTACTTCATGGTCTCTCCCAAACATGTATTTCATCCCCAAATACTTTACTGCAAACCAGTAGTTTCTATGCAGACAGTATTTCACTGTTGGTATATGAATAGTATTACTTATGTCCAGTTCTGCAGTACTCAGGCAGAATTGCCTCTGTCCTCAGGAAGAGAGGCTGCATATTAGCACAGACCTCAAGTAACAGCACCAACCTAAGCAGCTGTCCTTTTCTGTTAAAAATCCAACATGAGATCAAAGTTCTACTGCTTTAAAGACCACAGACTGTTTTCATAGTACGTACATTAAACGTGTGAATTTAGCAACTGCATAATCACCTGTTCTGTTAGTATTTTAATAAGGAAATTCCCAGCAATACATTAGTATCAGGAATAGTACTAGTCTGGGTGCTGTGTTTGAGATTATTAGGAGGGCTGCTGCCCTTCTGGAAGTACTGTTTTTGAATCTGTTATACTCTGTATTTCCAGAACTCTCTATCCTGTCTCTCCAGGTATAAACTAAGCTGTTAACTTGATATACTCCCTCTTTAATTCACAGTAGCAGTATATCAATAAGAACAAAGTATGCCATGTTCTAACATCATTTTGGGAAATAAACTGCTGCCTTTGACTACAGAATTAGCCTGTTTCTTGGATGAGATTTAACTATGACAAATGTTCTCAATATCCACATTACCTGTCTGTGACTGTTTAAGGAGATCTGGCAAAACAAGAAGACAAATTCCTGCTGCTGTACTTAGAAAAAGCCTCAGGCATTTTCAGTGTAAACACAATTTTGAATATTTGATTATGCTTCTGTGGGTTGTAACAATGTTTCCAAAGAGAAAATGAAGCACTAGGTCTTCTTAGTCTAATTTATGTATTTTTTTTTCCTGTTATTTTTGCTCTTGTTTCTCTCAGGCCCTTTTCTGTTGTGGATGTAAGGTACTGCACATGTGCAAATTCTGGGAGAAACAGAATTCCCTTCTCACTACATGGAAGCGCTACAGGGGCTTGAAAGCAGCCTATGAGGAGGTGTTTCACGCAACATGAGCTGCTGAGCTAAACTGGCTCTGTTCTGGCCCTAAGTGGCTCCATCTGTCAAAAGAACAATTGTCTTAATAATTTTACCATGTGTTTTAGTCCTGAATTCAAATCCAGACACCCCATCTTAGATTACTATACAGCACAAAGAAAGGATGTAAACACTGACAGACAAATTACCACGCCAGCTATCTGTGGTGGTAATCTGTGAGTATTCTCCTAGGTTCAGGGAAACATGAGGCAATTTGAGTTTAAGACCTCTTTCAGTGATACCTGTCTCAATTTTGGCTTGCTTGGATTTGTGATATCTGCCTGTAAGGGCTGTGAAACTTGTACTTTATTTTACATAGGCCTCTAAAGCAATTAAATTCTTTCACCATCCTCATGAAGATTCAGCCTGGTAAATTGGGGGTGAAAGGCTGTCTTTCAAACTTCTAGTCCTCTGTTCCCCAGACAAATGCAAATAAATGGTCTCAATTTTAGCTAGGAATGCGCAGTAGCCATAGTGTAGCTGTAGCTGGGTTGGGAGACCCACCAGTATAAAATAGAGACCTGGCAGATTTCTGTCTGTATGCCCAAATCCAGCCCAATTTCAGATCAGTCCATCTTTTCTCATAACAAATACCTGAGTCCCATGATGAATTTCTAGTAGCCACAGTGATGGTACTGTGCAAATCAGGTATAAAAATATTGCTGGTGAAAACCTGTGGAAGAAAATAGAAGATAGCTTGGTATTATATCGCATTGTAAATATCACATACCTATCATTATCTGCATTGAGAAGTATCTTGTGCCTCCTACCATATGGTTTATTAAGAAATAGGATAACTGCAAATAAGAGTTGATATTCTTCCCAAATTCTTCATGCTATCAGTATTATGAATCACAGGTTTATTGTACATCCATCTAAGATCACACATGGAAGTTTAAGATCTCTTGATAAGAATAACCAAAGACACTTTGCTGCTTGTATTTCCATCACAGCATTCTCTGTACTTAAAATTAAAAAAACCCTCTAGCTAACATGCTTTTTCTGGTTTCACGAAAGGTGAATTAATACATTGAGTCCCTTCACTGAGTGATGCGGGGATAAAGGCTGTTGATCAGAACCCTGTGCACTGACACAGTGAAGGTAGAAATAGCATCAGTTTGCCTAAAACAGTAATTTCTTCAGCAGGTCTTTCAGTGCAGGCTAAAAGTGTTTATGAAAATGGGTCTTGGCCTTGTTTCCCCGTTTTTGCTGGCAATTTCATAATTCTGTAGGATTCCTGTCTCTAGCTCTTTTCTCCCTCACAGTCTTCTATGCAACCTGTGATGGTGAAGCTTTATTCAGCTTCTTCAGGTGAGTTTACTTGGAAGTGGTAGAGAGGTTCCACTACTCCTTCTGCAAGCACTGACTTTTGTGAGGGTTACAGATGTTTTCCCACTAAACACAGAACGGGGGGTTTTGGGCTGTTGATTTTTGTTGATTTTTCTCTCTTTTTTTTTTTTTTTTTAAATTCCCATCCTCTCAGAGTGGGAATGAGGTCTAATGCCACTCATGTTCCATCTAGTTCTGCTATAGTGTGCAGTGAGCATAACTGCAATGCTGTTGAGGTGCACAGCAGCCTTTGTATTGCATGTATGTAATGGCCCAGGACAGAGCAGTGGAGTCAGACTCAGGATACTTGCTTGCTTGCTTCTATCCTGTCATTGGCACACCCTGCAGTGAATTTAAATTGCTTACAAGTATGTAACCACAGCAATGGTTTGGTCAAACGTTGTTGTATTTATTGTTTGTTCCTACCCTGAATGTACCTTTATTTTTGTAACCCTGACTTTTCCAGTGGAGATTAAGTATCAAGGAAAAGAAAAAGAAACAAAACAAAACTGCTGCTTGGGAAAATTACTGGGTTGCTGCGTGGCTCTGAAATATTTCAAACAATTCCCTCTAAAATAGTTCTGGACTGGATTTGGGGTGGGGGGTAGGGGATTGGGGTTTTGTGTGTGTGTGTGTGTGTTTGGGGCTTTTTTTGGTGGGGGATTCAGATTATTTTTGAGGATGAGGGTGTGCTGTCGGTTTTGGCAGTGGGGTTTTTTGCTTTCTGTTTTAAAAAAGTGATTTTGTGGGGTTTTAGTCTAGGATGGGGCTGGGTTTCTTGTTTTGTTTGGGTTTTGGGTTGTTTTTTGTTGTTGCATTTTTTGGTGGGTTTGTTTTTGTTGGGTTTTTGGGGGGGTTGTTTTGTTGTTTGTTTGGTTCGGAGTTTTTTTGAGAGAACACACCTCATTCAAATGGCAGAAATAACACACTTTGCAGTATTTCCTATAGATTTTTTTTTTTATATTTTTAGTATTTTCATATAGCACATGAAAAATCTATCCAGCTGGCAGGTTAGCAACGCTGAGCTAATGATAACACACCAGGCCAAGAGACTACAGAGGCTTTAACTCTGCCTTTATTTCAGAAGGAGCCATCTAGAGGAAGTATTAAGTGGCCAGACCCACAGTAATACTGTTTTCTCCACACGTGCCATTTAAATTCTTGTGCTGGTGTAGTGAGTGTTTTGTCAATAATAAATGGAGAGAATATGAGGCTCCTGGAAACAGGAGAGTCCTGTGGCACAGTCTGCCCATTGCTTGGATCAGTGACTGTCTATGGGGGTGTTTTCTAAAAATGCAAGTGTTACTGCCTGTTCTGAATGTGAGTGTATTCCACTGGAGCAGAGTTATCGGAAAGAGATGCTGTCCGTTTGTCTACAGTTCTTACCTATGAACATATTTTACCATGTGGCTTAAAGTGTTGGAACACATCTACTTTCAAAATTTCCTTCTAGCTAAATTTAGCCCTTACAGCACATGTATTCATCATCTAAAATGGATCTTGCTTTCCATAGCTATGTTGCTTTGGAACTTCCAAAAGCTGCCATAGCAAAAGTTTCTTCATGAAAACTCTGCTGCTGTCTCCTCTCTAGCGAATCGGATCTGCTCAATCTGCCTCTGTCTCATAACTGTACATTTGGAGCTCTGCCATTGTTAAATTTTCCTGTGTCCCAGACTTTATCACAGATTTTATTACATTCAGATTTAAAGCATGGAACACTTGTATAAAGTGTCACACAACACTGCTTGTTAAAATGAGTTTGACAGGTTGCAATGGGCAGAAATTTAAGATCATTGGAATACTCTGTGGCTTTTTTATTAATAATTCTTTTTTTTTTTTTTTTTTTTTTTATGGTCCTAGGTTTGTGTCAGGGCCTGTCTGCAGTTTCAGTTTTTAAATATAGGTCCTAGTGAAATCTTGACAATTAGTTACATGACCACTTCCCTTCTACAGAGTGTTTGTTTTGGCCGAGTGCTTATGAGCTGTAGATGACTGCAGCAGTTCGCACGTAAAAGCCCATGTGCTTAGGCAAACTCTGCTAGGACTAACTTTTTTTTGTTCATTTCTCAAGGACCCTTTCATGTGTTAAAATTCCCCTCTGGAATAGCTTCTCAAATCCAAACAATCAGGCCACTCTTGCTGTACTGCAAGAGTGGTTGGTGCTCATCTTTTGTCTCTGAGTTTTGATTCATGCATTCGTCTGCTGGTAGCACTGTCAGAAGTAGCAGGTATAGGGAATGCAGCCCCAGGGAAGGAGGTGTACTTCTCCTGTAGCTACGTTTCCCACATTTTTCAGTTATTAGCATGGATACACGCACAGCGCTATACAGAGAGTGGTTCCCAAGTAGTTTGCAGCAAAACTTCCCCACCTGAAAGCCCTCTGGCTTTGACAATGGACTAGCCAGGACTTAACCAGCTTCCTCCCCCTCACCACACACACATCCCCAGGTGCAGTAGGGGAGAAAATGCAACCCCCTGAAAGCCTGGCAGAAGCAAAGCAAGGGCAGCACCGCTCTTGGGCTGCAGCCGCTCAAAATCAGCCTCGCGTCTGCAGCGTAGTACATGCAAAGAAGCAAGAGGGGCTCGTCAGAGCCGGCGGGATATGCTCACCATTTGTAGCCTCTGCCTTGCTTAAACTTGAGGGTAAGCCCTGTCTCCAGGCACAGAAGAAGATTGAGCAGTGCCAGCAGCCAGTACTTGGGTTCTTTCTTCACTGCAGTCACTCTCCAGACCCCGATGACAGAGTGTAACATAAAGAGCAAGCGAGTAACCAGAGCATTGAGCAGTACCATCAGCTCCATCCTGGAGCAGCCCCCTCCCCTTCTCCCCGCACCGCAGGGGCCCTGCGCTTTTTAGGAGCCCTGGGAAGTTACCCTGGGAATCACTGGGAAGCGTGCGCACCACAGGCACACAGATCTCTTCCATCTCCACAAAGGGGCCCATTATAACAAAAAAAGAAACGGCATTGCCCCTCCCCCAGACTTCCTGAAAACTTTTTAGAGGGAATAATAAAAAAAAAAAAAAAAAAAAGGCTGCTCAGGCTTCCAGGCTGCAGTGGTGTGCAGCGCTCAGCACAGCTCTGAGCACGCTGAGCCAGGGGCGTGAGGGGTTCCTTTCTGCCGCTCTCTATCATCTGCTCAAGAACTAAAGGGCAGGGAGGTTTGTTTCACACAGCACCATTTCTCTGCTAACCCCGCTTGTTGCTCTCATGTCATAGATTTTTAGATAAGAGACAAAAATGGAATTTGAATCTTCCTTGCTTTTTAGCATTTTTTTTTTTGCAGATGCTGCACTGCATTACTGAGACTGCAAAACCCTCTTACGTCTCCCTTTCCCCTAAAAGATATAATTCACATCCAGGACCTTTGAAAATTATCCGTTTAAAATGGCATTAGAGAAAGCAGAAACTGTATACTTAGTTCAGTACTGGAATCCCTGCGTGCAACAGAAGATACAAAAGCTAACTAGAACTGAAACCTAGACAAACTACTATATTGTATAATCTACACTTTGCTTCAGGACTGACAAGGAGCCCCAGTAAGGAAATCCAGAAATCAGTTTGAGACCTAATGCTAATGTTACCAAATAGGCCAGTTGGAATTTATACAAAAAATTGAGAGAACTTTGACTGTTAGGTCACCTACATCTAGACTGACCTTTATCTTCTGTAGAAACAGTTTATAAACTACAGAATAGCTTTAAAAATTATGTTGTTTCTTATAACAATTACACTTTTTTATTTGAATTACACTTGGGTAACCGAGGAGAAAATTCTTCTTGATCAGAATTGGCACTGTTGTTCCAGTTTTGTGTTAATTTACTGCCAAAGCACTTAAATTGAGAGATACCATTGTAAAATATAGATGAAAAATCAAGTCCGTGTAATGTACTGTGGCACTCCAAAGATCATCATTTCCTAGCTGTTTTGGTTTTAAATATCCTGTTCTACTTTAAACACAAACAGATATTCTTCTAAGAGTTGTGACCTTCCTAAGAAATTTTTCCTCGATTGCTAAGATCCAGGTTTTACTCACTGAAAAACCAAGGCTCTTTCTCTGTGAAGTGTTGAAGCTGGTGCTGGCCAGCTGACGTCCTTAGGGGTTGTGGGGATGGAGGTGGTGACTACTTAAAAATAACCCTGTCCAGAAAAAGAGAGAAACAAAAGGCCATTCTGCAGTATAGATCACTCAGGAAATGCCTGAGTAAATAGATGGACTGTGCAGCATGCCTTTTGGAAGCGACAAAATCAAGCTCCTCACACTCAAAGGAAAATTAATTCAAGTCAAGGGCCTACTACTGATAATCCTCTGCCAACAGCCACGCTGCCATATCATGCCTTGAGTTCTGTTGGTTCACAGCCCTTCCGCTGGTGTTAAGGTCAAACCCAGTTGAAGGGGAAACAGGGAACAGACAGAACTGATAGATTGTTTAAACAAGATACTCTTCTGTGGGAATGCTTGATGTCTAAGAAATAACATGGGGGAACTGGTATGTCTAATTGTTTATGGAGATTCTAACAGCACAGATGTCATAAACTTGGAAAGATGATGATCAATGGGACTTTCCCATGATATCGTCTATTCAGGAAGGATGTGGTGAGCTTTGCAGATAGATAGTAGTTCTGTATATATTAAAGACACTTTGGAGCTGAATGGCTTAGCAAGGTAATTTCTCTAAGGAACAATCCAGACTTCACATCAGTGGAAGTCCCAAACTTAAGTAGGAAGAATATAGAACATTGCTTCTGCTTAGCTGACCAGTGGACCATTATGGTGACACAATGGGCTTAGTAGAGGAAGGAAGTAAGTAGGTATGGATCACTTCAGTGATGCAGTCTAGAAGAGGCAGAAATGGCATCCAGACTTGATAAGTACATTTTTAGATGTGTCGGTGGCTGGTTTGTGGAGCAGCAGGTTCTGGAGCCCATGAGGGCAATGCTTGACTTTAATTCTGAGTGGTTTACAGGATCTGATGTAGAGAGTAACAGCTGAAGAGCTCCACTGAAATGAGGATCTTAATGTGCTTAGACTCAGAATTCTTTCAGGTGTAAGACAAACCAGAGTTCTCCAACACTGCCTCTCTTAGCTTCAAAATGGAAACCAAGCGCAGATCAGAAAGCTTTCTGAAAGTAAGACAGACAGAAGACCTAACCTTTGCAGGGTGTATGGCTATTGCTATAAATCATATGAGAAGTGGAGAGAAAATAACTGTATCAAGAAAAACTTGAGAGAGAGTGAAAATAAGCCAGCATTGGCAGGGTGAGATTGCAGGAGCGAGAAGGCATCCTGCAAAAAAGCAGAAGTGGTGTCCAGGTGAAGAAAACCAAAAGGATTATAAACTCTGGAAAGTTAAATATGCAAACACTATAAGGCTGGCTGAAGGAGTATGGGGGACAATTAACAAACACCATAATAACTAGAATATCTGAAATCTGTTCAAATACGTAGTGAAAAGGAAGTCTGCCAGGGAATTGTTGGGTCAGTGGATGGTCAAGTGGGTTTTTTTCCCCCTATGACATTACATGTACTAGTGTTCCAGTAATTCTGTTCTTTTCATAGCTTCACTAATTGGCAGCTTACAATTGTCAGGCTAATTGATCATGGGCTAGAGAGTACTTAGTGGAAAAACTTTGTGTTTACCTTATTCTTTTAATCTTTTGCTGAGTCATGGAGTTAGGTCTACTGTTGAAGGCAGACAGTGGAATAGATGGGCCTTTGCTTTGACCCAAAATGGCTACAGTAATAGAGACTTTTTAGTCTCTTAAGAAATTGACTTGGACTAAGAGCAGTACAGTTTATGAATTGGTAGGTTGGTAATGTAGCTTTGATCCAAGCTCAAAGCAAGACTCATGTCTCTATGGAGTGTTCTGCTAATGATATACCCTCTCCTCTTTTCTGTCTGGAAACTTTGTCTAGTGGGTTCTGAGAATTGCCTGTGTCTGGGAACATTTGAGAGATCCTTCCAGATGAGCTTCCATGTTCTGGCAAATCCTGAACATGATGGTGTGGAATTTTCATTCAAGACAACTTGTCAGGATCTACTACATGTCTCTTCCATGTAATAGTTAACTGCAGCATGTCTTATGCATTTGGGAAACCTTAAACCTTACTGTGCCCTCACTACCAGTGACCTTCTATGGGAATATAAAATCTGGCACTCCAAAAAGCTGTGCCACAGAGTGTCTGCACAAGTATTTGTCTAATTTCTGCTTCTGAGCTGAGCCACTATGCTGATTTTGCTACACAGACCCCATAAACGTTAAAAATTGCACCAATTCCCAAGAAGAACCTAGGGCTGGAGATGGATCACGATTTGAATGCTAATTAATGGTACCATGCTGTTGCTAAATGTATGGTCATATTAGCACATAAATACAGAACTGAAACCTGCAAGGTGTCAGCTGACTTCCACTTGGGAAGGCCTTACCTGAAGTGTAAGTGACTTTTGGTCAATGAGGGAGAATCCCGTGGAGAAGTGCAGAGTGCTTCTATGGTAGGAAATGAATAAATTGCATAAACAAATGGTTCATTTTTAAATAGTGAAAGTGACATCCTTATTAGGTTGCAGTGCTTATAGAATCAAGAGCCTTGCTCAAACACCTAGAAGACTTCAGTTTGGACAGGAGCACAGGGGCTGGAAATCCTGTGAGGAGGAATTCCAGTACAGAAGTTCTGGGAGCTTTGCTGGTTATGTGCACCAGTGGTTTTTTTGTGGTGGGGTGGTTTGGTTGGTTTTTTTGGTTATAGGTTTTTCATTTTGTTTAGCGTAGTACTGGTGGGAACTATGAACAAAGGAGGCTGTCTCAGAATTCATTTTTATTGCTTACTTACGAACTGGCATGTTTTGGTAGTGAAATCTGGAGTAGTGGCTACTGGCCATCTTCAAGAGTCTTTGAAGATTTGATTTACAGTATTCATAAAGAAATAATTATAGGGTATTAAGCAAGTAGCTGAGAATGGGTCATAAATTCAATGCCAGTCAGCAATATTGTTCTGCTATGAAGGATGCACACTGGGATGTATTAACAGATCTGTAATATGCCAGATTTGAGCTATTAGTTCCTCCATCCTTGATGCTGGGAGAGACTAAACTACCTTATTTCAGGTGGTGCATTTCCAAGCCAGAACAGATGTGATAGACTGTCTAGAAAACAAGGCTGCTGAGGAAGGAAAAAGGGGGTGCTGTTAGTTTAGAGAAAACTGAGGAGAGATGGAAGTGGCCAAGTGTTCACGACGCTGTTGCAGGGAGGCCAGGAATAGCCTGTTTCCCAGTCCTAAAGCATAGGGAAGGAAGTAAAAGGCTTAAACAGCAATTAGATGTCTGGAGACATATCTTGCTAGGAAGGATGGTGAAGTACTGTAATAGATTACACAGAGAGATGTCAAATCTCCATTGTTGCAGGCTTTTAAACACAGATTAGGGAAACGTTTGTCAGGAATGACAGCAGTTTAGTTGATCATGCTATGGGGCAGAGGGCTGACTAGAAGATCTCTGGAGGTTTCTCCAAGTCTTACCTCCTAGGGCTCTAAGGTTTATTTCTTTATTATCTGATCATTGTGTTGAGTCTCTGAGGAAGATTCTTGCTTAAATTAAGTTTGCTTAATTTTACTTCCATTAGGGTTCTTAAAGAGGAGGAAATTGTTCTGTTTTCTGAATGCTTGATTGCAAACTGTGAATAATTAGGACAGCCATATAGAGAATTTACAACAAGTGGCAATTAACATACATGTTGAAATTAATGGGAATGATTCAGTTTTATATGTGAAACAAAAAAAAAAAAGCCAAAACTATCTGATTCTGTCATAAGTGAGAGCCTGACTCTCACCAATCAAATGCAAGGGGGGAAAGCCAGATCTTTCAAAACATGATCTGTGACAGAAGGTACTAGCTGTAGCTCAGTAAGGGTGTGAAGGAAATGGATAAAGGAGTGAAAAAACAGAATATAAAAAGATTAGCTCTCCAGTAAAGCACCAATATGATTGCAGAAGCATTAAAATCCCTGCAGGAGATTTACTGAGGACTCTGCCCTGGATTAGAATTTGATATAAAATAACTTAACTGAAGTCATACAATTTCTGTGCCATTTGTAGCTGAGTTAATAGCATATGTTCCTGGAGGATTACAGTCAATGATTAAGGAAATTAGGTTTTGTTTGAATTTAATTTAGTTGTATAAAGCTGCTACAATAAT